AGATAGATAGATAGATAGATAGATAGATAGATAGATAGATAGATAGATAGATAGATAGATAGATAGATAGATAGATAGATAGATAGATAGATAGATTCACAGATCTCAAATTTTTATGCATTACATGATAAGAACTGCATTCTGTCGAACGCAATAATAATAATAATAATAATAATAATAATAATAATAATAATAATAATAAAAAAGAAGCAGACAGCATTGGAGGCACAATAAGAGGCTACCGATTGGAGGTTAACAATGTTAAGCAGTGTTTATAGGATTGCTAGGATCACAACTAAGTGCAGGTTAGGAACAATGTCTGCTTGCAGTTAGAAGTTCAACTGCTACTGCTGTTATAGCAGTCCGTCTACCATTATTGGCTGATATTTATAAATTGTAGCAGTGACTAATTATCTCTATCTAGATGGATTTTTTGTGTTATTGTGTTTCTGTTTGCATGACTTTACCACCTTGTACTTAGCTAAATATGATTTTGTTGTGAGAGAAAAATGTTTTTAGTGGCAGTTATTGGTCTGAGAAGAGAATTTAACCTTCCTTTGTAATCTCCAAGGTGCCACTGATATTCCATATCCTGATTTGATCAGTAAAAGCCAAAAGCCTTCATCTTATTCAATTAACAAGTATTAGTAATATAAACAGATGATCTGTGGTAAACAAATCATCTGTCTGTGGAAATGGTAGTTTAGCTATTTCCAGAAAAATCAAGTCAAAGTGAAGTTGTCAATGTTGACCATATAAAATGTATTGATTATTGACAAGAAGGTCAAGGTGCTGGGATATTTGACAAAATGTTTTGTGTGTTTATGGAATGAGAATTATTAAGCAGAGTTCACATAAACAGGTGGTAAGACACTAAAGCCAATATTCTTGATCTTGACTGAGCAAGCTGGTGCAATAAAATTAAGGATTTACAGCAATCCAAAACTGACGTAAGAAATTTTGTTAGCAAAAACATCTGAATTCTGTAAACAACATTGTGGGACTTTCTGTTAGTAACGGCATTGTCGTTAGGTAAACAAATGCAGCACATACATGTACAATTATGACAATAATTATAACCAGCTTATAACGAACAAACTCTCTGCATCCAAGTCAACTAGATATTACAAACACTAAAATCCAGTCTTGGTGCTTCTTATTCAGACACTAGAGTCAGCTATCTTCAATTTTTTTTGTGAATTTTAATTCCCCATTTAAATTGTTATTTGGATGCTAATTGCCTTCAAATTCCAAAATGCTTAAAACATGAGATGGATGTACTAAATATTAATAACCATTTTAAATTATTTTCTATGTAGCGTTTCTGTCATGGAGTGCGGTTGTTGGAGAAAGTTGTTCTTCAAGACAATCTTTCAACTCTTGTTGTAAAGTTGTACCCAAGAAATGAGGGTTACTCCTTGATGCTTAAAGACAAGAATGGTGCAGGTATAGTAATAAATTGGTAAACAATCTTATTATAACAATGTTTAACAAAACAGAAACAGAAACAAAGGAAAACAGATTGACACATGCTGGTGATTTTTTGTTTTGGTGAAGTGAAAGATGATCCCAGCAGGCCTCAGTGTCCCTTACTTTTTTGGAACTTTATTTTCATTTGGGCTAGCAAATTTGATCAGTAATGATCCATCACA